GACTCTGGGTTTGTGTCTCTGAAGCTAGCTACAGGTCTCTGGGTTTGTGTCTCTGAAGCTAGCTACAGGTCTCTGGGTTTGTGTCTCTGAAGCTAACTGCAGGACTCTGGGTTTGTGTCTGAAGCTAGCTACAGGACTCTGGGTTTGTGTCTGAAGCTAGCTACAGGACTCTGGGTTTGTGTCTCTGAAGCTAGCTACAGGTCTCTGGGTTTGTGTCTCTGAAGCTAGCTACAGGTCTCTGGGTTTGTGTCTCTGAAGCTAGCTACAGGACTCTGGGTTTGTGTCTCTGAAGCTAGCTACAGGTCTCTGGGTTTGTGTCTCTGAAGCTAGCTACAGGTCTCTGGGTTTGTGTCTCTGAAGCTAGCTACAGGTCTCTGGGTTTGTGTCTCTGAAGCTAGCTACAGGTCTCTGGGTTTGTGTCTCTGAAGCTAGCTGCAGGTCTCTGGGTTTGTGTCTCTGAAGCTAGCTACAGGTCTCTGGGTTTGTGTCTGAAGCTAACTGCAGGACTCTGGGTTTGTGTCTCTGAAGCTAACTGCAGGACTCTGGTCTGGGATCAGTCTACAGGTTTATTGACCAGCTGTTACCTGTCTGCCGGGGGCCATGTGGACCCGGGGGACCTCGTTCGGCTGGTCGGTGAAAATGTAAACGTGAACATTGAAACCAACGAAGAAGTGCTGCTCCGCCGTCTGCAGGAAGGCCTCCAGGAAACGGATGTACCTGCAAGGGGTCAGAGGTCAGAGTGCTGCTTTCAGGGCGGCATGCACACCACAGCGCTGTGATGTCACACTACAGCGCTGTGATGTCACACTACAGCGCTGTGATGTCACTCTACAGCGCTGTGATGTCACTGTGATGTCATACTTTCCCACGGCGAACACGGTGACGGCCACGCTGATGTTCCTGGGTCTGTAGAGGCCGTCCAGCAGGACCGGGTCAAAGGTCCCGTCCCAAACCACCGGCGCCAGCCAGGGCGTCACCGTCACCACGTCCGTGCGCCTGGGGGGGATAATCCAGGGGGGGGGGCATATTTCAGGTCACATCGACATGACAGTACTGCAACACTTCCTGGTACAAGTGTTTGTCAACTGCTTTCAAATCTAAACTGCTCCACCGGTTAAAACTCTGCTCACAGATTGTTGGTCACCCTGTCAGAGACTTCCTGACTCACATCGCATAATAACCTGAGAGGCTCCGACAGCATCATCTGGGACCCAAAGCATGCTCTGACAGAGAAGAGGAACTGCTGCCATCTGATGGAGATCAATAAAGTGAGCCTGAAGCATCCTTTGCGCTCCACTCTATCCTCTCAGTAAACACAGAGCTACAGGTCAGATGCACGCTGAAGGCTCTTTGAGCGGAGGCCTGTACTACGAAGCTGGTTCAACCTAACCTGGATATGTTTGAGTTAGCCGGTTGGCCTAATCCAAAACATACACGCTCTCGCTAAACGGTACTACGACGCGGGTTATCAAGTGGATCGCTCAAGCCGGCCGTGTCCTATCTAGTTAGGCCGGCAAAAATCACAGACTGTGTGAACGTGAACATTAATAGAATATCACCTCCCATCTTCAGAGCAATCTGACTATTATAACATTAGCGTTAAGAAAGCTTACTTAAATATCTGCCACAACATAAGTAACCGGATCAGAGTAACATTAAGTACAGTCCGCGGGATATCACATCATAATGTATCATCTCCTTATCTGAGTCAGCTGAGCCGTATCTGGCCGTGCAAAACTCACAGTGTCACATACTGTATGCAGAAGTATTATTTTAAGCAACACATTAAGTTGAGGAAACACTCGAGTCAAATGTAATGAAAGTCAGATGGTGTGTTAGACGGGGCAGTGATATCATAAACCTGTTAATGTACGCATTCAAACACTTGTTCTGTTACCAGCTGTATTCACCTTGCAGGTGCAGCTATGTGGCTTTGATCCTGGATAAAGTGTTTAAGTCATGGATGTTTAAAGTTTAACTTCTTCATATGTTTAATATTATAGTTGACTTTTCATTCAGGAAGTATGACGCTGCGCTGTCAGTACGCTTCTCCATGTTTGTGATTGGTCGAATGCTCCAGATACCACCCCTTTCATGTGAACGCACACCTAACTAGATAGGACACGGCTGGCTTGAGCGATCCACTTGATAACCCGCGTCGTAGGACCGTTTAGCGAGAGCGCGTATGTTTTGGATTAGGCCAACCGGCTAACTCAAACATATCCAGGTTAGGTTG